TTGTTATATTTTTTATACTGTCATCATTTGTAAAGTATATATATATATATATATATATATATACTTTCCTTTACCAAATTTACCTGTATTTACTTTGTTTTCATATTTGGCGACTTTTGAGGGTGGTTCTAGAGATTTTCTGAGGGAGGGGTTTGGGAGGGGTTTGGCAACACTGAAACGGTGCGTCTCATTTCGCTGCCTATATAGTGAATCAGTTCATCCTAACCACGAATCCAGTCGCTGGCAAGTAGTGATGGAGAAACTGAGCTTTTCAAAACTCCGAGTCAATTGAATCAATGGATTCACAAAATGATTCTCTGTTTTGAATCGCTCGAATCACCGAACTCTGACGACACACTGCTGTTCCAAACAGTGTAAATGCAACGAGAACAACGAACACAAACATGTGTAGCGACAACTTTTACAAACAATAGCTTTTAAAAAAAAAAGTGTAATCTATTAAATTTTACATACTAATCACTAAATACCTAATATTGATCATAACTAAATAGTAAGTGTTAATTTTGTTATTTTATTCATGTTTATTATTATTGTTATTTATTGTTAAGGTTTTGAGTGTTTTTGGTTCATTAGTCCATTTAAGTGCATTAACTCTCACTCTGACTGACTTTACCTCACCAGTGTGCTGACTACTGAACTAGGGAGCTGACTGAGACGCATTTAGTTTGGGTTTATTTTTCTTTCTGTTAATTATTCTCATCCTAAACAGGACAAAGTGTCCAAACACACAGAAAAAGTGAGATCCACACAACTCACTATTATTAAGATGGTGTTTATTAAAGGGGTCATATGATGCGATTTCAAGTTTTCCTTTCTCTTTGGAGTGTTACAAGCTGATTGCAAGACATGAAGATTGAAGAAGCATTCAGAGTCAAACATGAAGATACTGAGGAACAAACAGGTTGGTTTTCGTTTTCAAAGCTGAAAACATCCTGTACTTTTTTTTTTCTCCATAATTAATTTGCCATTGGCAGGTGTTTTTATACCCTTGTCTGCCCTCATGCAGCTTTCTCTCCTTTATTTTTTTTAAAGGATTTCAGCTTCATTTAATTTTTTTCTTCAAGTGCTCTTAAAGTGGAAGTGAAGCAGTCAGTCAAGTTTACATTATTTAGTAAATTGATTTCAACTTTAATTAAAAAAATATAACAAACACAATTAATGTAACCGTTTTAAAGAAAAAAGGATATTTTGTTATAGCTTTTGGAAGAGTGAAGATGTGAAGATTGAAGAATCATTCAGAATCAAACATGAAGATACTGAGGAACAAACAAAGATGGTGTTAATTAAAGAGGAGAGTGAAGATATGATTGAAGAAGCATTCAGAGTCAAACATGAAGATACTGAGGAACAAACAGGTTGGTTTTCGTTTTCAAAGCTGAAAACATCCTGTACTTTTTTTTTTCTCCATAATTAATTTGCCATTGGCAGGTGTTTTTATACCCTTGTCTGCCCTCATGCAGCTTTCTCTCCTTTATTTTTTTTAAAGGATTTCAGCTTCATTTAATTTTTTTCTTCAAGTGCTCTTAAAGTGGAAGTGAAGCAGTCAGTCAAGTTTACATTCCAAATTAAACCCTGCGGCTCGTGACGATACCCTTTAAGAGAATGCAGTTTATCTAAACACCTCTCTGAATGATCGCGCTAGTGCTGTTCTATCATTCTCACGTGTTTTAAGCCTTGTCAGTTTAAACATTAATGCGTTTTAAGACATTCAAAAGCGAGAAAGAGA